AGATGAAAGGGAGGTAGGGAGAAAGAGATGACGAGGGCAGGAAAATCACCAGTCCTGGATCCAGCGTTGTTGGTCCAGCCAATGGGGGAGGGTTGGTGTCCATGGGCAGTGTAGATGAAACTCCCCAAGCCCACCACTGCAGCCCCCTATTTTATAGGCCTAGAATCTTGATTTCACAACGAGTACGTGTGATTGAGCCATACATGTGGCATACACGAGTAGCTGGAGTGGACCTGCCCCCTCTGCCCCTCAATCATGTCATTATCTCAGTCCTCCTCAACATCTATGCAGGCCCAAGGCCTATGCAGCCCATTCCTTCAGTCTCCAACCTCCCAGGCAGCCTTTTGGGGTGCGTATGAGCAGGGGCTACAGTGAGGTTTTGATGCCATTTCCCAAAGTAGGTCCGGAGGGCTGGTCCCTCACAGGCAGGTACAGCTGTGGCTTTTCTGTGACCTCAGATGCTACACAAGCTAATGGAGTGAAATTTAAAATTGGAGAGCAACAGGTGGGAATATCAAAGTGAACAGTAAGGTTCCTTATGGTAAGATAGATTGCTCTGAAAAATGGGCTTCCAAGGAAAATCACAGGCAAGGGCAGCTTCCTGGAAATGCTTAGTACTAAATTGATCCTAAGACAGGGAGGCAGCATAGTGAAAAGACAGTTCCTCAGCAAGCATTCCTGAAATAGGTCCTTTTACTTCCAATTTCTGTATTTCTGTGAAGGGAACCACATGCAGGTAATTTAACAAAATACATCTCAGCCCATTTCAGCCCTTCTGTTAGGAGCTGGGCTGTGCTCTTGGGTCTTTGGAGGAGTCTAGCTCACACTTAGAGAGTGGCTTGATTTTTAGCTACTTGATTATCAACATTAATATTGCTCTTTTTTGTTGAGTCCCCATCTTAGAGTATTTTTTCATAGTTTAACCAGTGAAGGAGATGAAAGCTGCTGATGCCGTGGGTACACGTTGAACCATCCAGCACAGAGCAGAACATTTTACTGTCACCTGGCTGCATTGTGTCCCTGTGTTGCTTATTATTTCCATGGGTACTGTTTGCTTACTCATCTTGGCTCAACTGTGGCTGTGGCTGACAGCATAATTCTGAGCAGCAGATTGAGAATTAGCTCTGCAACGGATTTCCCAGCAAATCACCTTTCCTCTGGCATTTATCTAATCATAGAATTATAGAATGGTTTGGGTTGGAAGGGACCTTAAAGATCATCTAGTTCCAACCCCCCTGCATGGACAGGGACACCTCCCACCAGACCAGGTTGCTCAGAGCCCCATCCAACCTGGCATTGAGCACTTCCAGGACTGGGGCACCCACAGCTTCCCTGGGCAACCTGTTCCAGTGTCTCACTACCCGCATAGTGAAGAATTTCTTCCTAATTTCTAACCTAAGTCTGCCTTCTTCCAGTTTAAAGCCATTACCCTTAGCCCTATCACTACTTGAGGGACTTGTAGAAAGACCCTCCCCAGCTTTCCTGTAGCCCCTGCAGGTATTTGAAGGCTGCTGTAAGGTCTCCCTGGAGCCTTCTCTTCTCCAGGCTAAACAACCCCAATGCTCTCAGTCTGTCTTCATAGGAGAGATGCCCCAGCTCTCTTGATCATCTTCATGGCCCTCCTCTGGACTCACTCCAACAGCTCCATGACTTTCTTGTGTTGGGGGCACCAATCTCATCAGAGAGGAGAAGAGGGGTAGAATCACCTCCCTCGGCCTGCTGGCCACACTTCTGTTAATGCACCCCAGGATCTGGCTGGCTTTCTGTGCTGTAAGCACACATTGCTGGCTTATGTTGAGCTTCTCATCAACCAGCACCTCCAAGACCTTTTCCTTCGGGCTGATCTCCATCTACCCCCTGCCCAACCTGTATTTGTGCTTGAGATTTCCCTGACCTAGGTGCAGGCCCTTGCACTTGGCCTTGTTGAAACTCATGAGGTTGATATGGGCCCACCTCTGAAGTCTCTCAAAGTCCCCCTGGCATTGGCAAAACAGTGTAGTGTATTCAGGGTCTAATTAGCCCGGCACAGCATGCTAGTAGGTAGGAATTGGGCAGTATATAAAGCTACACTATCCCCTCCACTGCAAGGCAGAATTTACCTTCTCTGAAGACATGTTGTAATCCACCATGGTAAGAATACCTATGGTATCAGTTTACTTACAGCCATGTAGCATGCTTTTTTCCCCAAGTTCACTAGTGAGATGAAAGACAGTTTTACCCATTCCTGGCTCCTTTGTCTACCAGCTTTAACCCTACTTTGCAAGTTTGAGTGCTGTCCAAAAGTATTTCTAAGTGGAACAAAAATAAACATGCTTTTAAGTATTTTATGTTCCTACTTTAAGGGAGATTGACACATTTTGAAGAGGAAAGCAGCCTACAACACCTAAATTAAAAATAAATATTTATGTTCACATTTGTTCATCAGCTTTCGAAAATGTAAAAATATGTTTCATGTTGTTTTAAATAATGAAATGTGAAACAAATGAAAGATAAACTTCCTACAAGCTGCAAAGAAATAAGAAGACAAAGGCGTTGTTTATAGCTTAGACTTCAACAGTGCCCTTTGACAACCAATACAAATCTTAATTACAAATGGAATTATACATATAAGAACTGTTCAAAACAAAGGAGAATTTTTTTTTTCTGTCTCTGGTTTTCTTTGTGATAGTTTTAATTAGCTGCGACTCTTTGAACAATCATAGTCCTTGACTGCTTCTCAGAGACTGATGGAAGTTGTTAACTTCAAATGGCATCTGTAGGACTACAGAAGTCTGGATTTTTCTCTGAACAGCATGCTCCCTATTGCTAAATTTATTCCTGGATGTATCAGGATTCTGCATACATACCACTTAATTGAGAAGTGAGCACTGTCCAATAATGTTCCAGTGATTGACATTAGGACACAATAAATTGGATTAATAGGCTGCAGCACCCTATCCACACTGGCAGAACTTTAATGGACCTCTCTAATAAAGTAAGCAGCAACAGGGCAAATGTGTTTTGGAAAATAACCGAGTCAAATAATAGGGGAAAACAGTCATTAGAAATAATGGCCAGCCATACATGGTATTTTCCTCATGATAATCAGGAACCTTGCTTTCAAAACAAGTAGAGAGTGGAAAGAAAAAGTCAATTTCCAGCGTGGAAACTGCTGTACACCTGATACTGATGGTTCAGAAATGTGTGTTCCTGTCTTGACCTAAGAATTATTTATTTTTTCAATTCCCTATGGCAACCTGTTTAAAAGAAGGTGCCCACCAGAAACAGGATAAGAGATCTGTCTTCCAGCCCAGTTAAACAGCCTAATCTGCAGGTGGAGGTCCTGGTCCTGCATCAAGATACACCCTTGCAGGATGAAGAGAGGAGGGTGCCCTGTACCTGCCAGTCCTATTAAAGGGGTTAGGGCAGGAGTGACCTTGCTGTAGTCTGGGAGATTGGAGGTTGAGGTGTCACAGCCAAATTTAAGGCTTAAAATAAATGCTGCTATTGCAATACAGTATTTGGGGGAAGAGAAAGTTTCTGCCTGGCATGTGTGACTCACCGTGCTTGGCAGCACAGGAGCCTTCATTTATCAGAGCTGAACACCTGCCTCTCTGCCTGCACGTACTCCTGTGCACCTCGATGCACGGGTTGTTTAGCACAGAAGGGCATCTGTTGACTTCACAAGTTCAGGACTTAAAGTTGTGTATGTCTGAAGAACTGGGAGGGTGGAGTGGAGTATTTTTTTATGCCTTTTGCTACTGTGGAAAGTGTGAATATTAGTGCAGATGGGCGGGGAAATGCCTCTGAGAAACATGCAGAATACGGGCAAATGCTTTTTTAAAAACTCACCTTGTTTCAATAAGGAAAACAGAAAAATTAGTTCTTGTTAGTCATTATTACAAAGGAACTAGAATAGTTTCTCTCTTTTACTTCTAAGTTTCTATTGAGTGTACACTGTGCCATGGAAATTAAATGAAATGATGCAGAATGCAAAGCCTAACCACTAGAATTGTGACTTCATCTTTCAAACTGAGATATTGCTGCATCGATCTGTTTTTATTTGTTGAAGTTCAGACAACTCATGCTGAGCCAGTGAAGAATGTCACTCTGATCTCCAGTGGAATGGAGAGATGTGGCTAATACAAACTTATGCCTACAGGAGAGGGCAGATATCTTCCAGGATTGTCTTTCAAACTTCCTTTGCAAATGACTGTTTAGGATGCAGTAGTAGTTTATTAGTAGATGCCCTGTAACAATTCATGCAAGTCTTGCCCTGTTGTTTTTTTTTTTCTCTCCAAAACTCTCTCCTTTGTCCCTCCACAGCCTCTCTGGGCAGCCTGTTCCAGGGCTCTGTCACTCTCACAGCAAAGAAGTTTTTTTTATGTTTAGCTTGAACCTGAACCTGATGTGCTCCAGCTTGTGCCCATTGCTCCTTGTCCTGTCCAGGTCACACTAGATGTCAGCAGAGCCCTCTGGTGTGTCAGCCACTCCTCCGAGTTTTGTATCATTAGCAAACTTGATAATGGTACATTCTATCCCTTCAGGTCATTGATGAATATATTGAACAGGACTGGACCCAGTACTGACCCTGGGGGTCTCCACTCAGACACAGGTCTCCAACTAGACTCTGCCTCACTTACAATAACTGAACTCTGCCCTTCAACCAATTCCCAGTCCAGCTCACTGCCCTGTGATCCAATCCACAGTTATAGAATTTGGCTGTAAGGATGCTGTGGGAGACCGTGTCAAACACCCTCTTGAAACATCTGTACCTATGAAAATATATACTGGAAATGATCCTTATCTAATTTGAAGTGGTACAGTTTGCTTTCTTCTACTACATTATGACTGATTTCTACCAGCCTAGGTTTTTATTCCATAATTTTAAAACCTGTTGAACTGAGATCCCCTTGCCCTTTAGCTTCAGGATGATCAGGATTTTGCATACCATGATCTTCATAAGGTTTTCAAGTTTTTGCCACTGTAAATGTCTTTTTAAATTTTTCTTCCTATTAAAGCAAAGAACCGTGGGATTGCAATTCCAGTGGATTTAGACAGCCAGGTCAACACCTTGTTCATGAAGAGTCACTCCAACATGGTGCAGAGGGCAGCCATGGGGTGGAGAATGTCAGCCCGCAGTGGACCTCGTTTTAAAGAAGCTCTTGGTGGGCCTGCCTGGGATTACAGGAATATAATAGAAAAACTACAGGTACAAAAATAGCAAATTACTTGGTGGTGCATTAATCTAATACGTGCCAGATGTGGAAAACACCAGAAACACTCATGGCATTTTCAGTGCTGGATTACAGTGACCCTTGCATTTCTGGGAGAGGTGGGGAACAGAAGGCTCAGCTCTTTGCTGATGTCTGTTTGAAGTGAAGCTAACATGGAGGGCCTTTTGATCCATGAGCTGAATTTGGATCCTACAAAAGTCCACTAGAAAGGACTAGGAAGTATGTTCTTTTCCCCAAAGTGGTTTGGAGAGAAAGATCTCCTTTCTGCCTTTCACGGTCACATGCCCTGTTTTGGCTGCAGAGGAGGTTCTGGGAGTTTTAGGAGCCATTATGTCAGATTTGTGTCACTGGAGAATGCCTACAAGGTGGAGATCACCTTGTGTATGTAGGAGTTAAGTGACGTCAGGAATTTATTAAATAAGAAAACAGCAGGACTCAGACAAATGGAGGAGCCCTAAACACGAAGGAAGCAATACCTCAGGTGATACAGTAACACCACGTGTCCTCCAGCACACCATCATCTTGACTCTTGCCAAGTGTTTTGTGGGCATTATTGCAGAGAAGAAATTTTAGAGAGAAAACAGCAAGGCAGATAGTAATGGCCACCTTCCCTCTTCTTGAAGAGTGGCAGGAGGAAACTCATGAGGTCACTTTAGTGCCACCTGGGTTAACATGGGCTTTTTCTGCTGCCTGTCAGAAGTGGGTCAAATAAGCCATTGCACAGCATTGTGTAACTCCATAGCAATGCTCTTTTACTTTTCTTGGTTGGACATAGTTATGAATGACATTCCTCTTCTTTTTCCCTAGGATGTAGTGTCCTCCTTGGAGCAGCAGTTCACTCCCATGATGCAAGCTGAATTCTCAGTGCTGGTTGATGTGCTGCACAGTCCAGAACTTCTTTTTCCTGAGGGGAGCGATGCCAGAATAAGATGTGGTGCTTTCATGTCCAAGTAAGTGGTGTAAGGAGAGGCCTATTTGCTTCTTTGGAAGAGGTGGCAGAGAGATAAAATATTTAGCAGCACTTAGCTCTCATTTTCAGCAGTGACTTAAGCATGTAGGTGTCTTGAGTACATATTGAAATCTTAAACTGAGGTCTTTTCCTGCACGTCTTATGTTTCTCAGCAATTTAGGAGTCTGGAGAGGAGCAGAGAGAGAAGCTGCTTGCCTTGCTTGTCTAGAAATTGAATGCTAGTAGCTTGTTAAAACTGTGACAGGCTCAACCTATTTCTGTTTTCTTAATGGGCTACTTTTGCTAGTAAGTTTCTCCAAATCTACAGCAGAAACTTAGACTTCCCACAGTAGAATTTTCAATAATCCATAGTGAGGCAGGGTGGGGTGCTCAGGGAGAGATTTTTTTTTAATTTTAATTTTTTTTGGTAAAGCAAGTGTATCTTTTGATTTTTATTTTAAACTGCCAACAGCTCTCCTAAAAATACATTTCATTGGCACCCCTACCTGGTCTTGAATTAGTAGATGTTTTATTTGCAGTCTGTGCATTCTAATTGAGTCTTGCAATGTTTTTTATTAGTCCTCAAGTGAGATGCCCTCACTGCCCTTGAGAAACTATAATTTAAACAGAGGTTACTTGAGGGAAATGAATGCATTTGGCAGCTCTCCTGATTCCTTGGCTTTTTGCATATGCTACAGAGGTAGTGTTATAACAATATACTTTGTATGTTTGGAAAAAACTTAAGTTTTGAGCTTTTCCCAACCTGTCCCCTCTGTCCAAACTCCTTTCAAAGGCAATATCAAATCAAGTAGATTGCAATAGATTTTCCAGTTTTATTTAAATAATTTCCATGACAAAGGAATGCTTTGCAGAGCTATGCACAAATCCTGAGATAATGTTGTAACTCTTTAAAAATATTGTTAGTGTTGCTGGCCTGAGAGCTGCACTGCTTTGAACTCACAGCTCATGAAAATGGTGAAGGTGACAGTGGGAGGGTTCTGCACGGTGTCTCCACTGAGCCTATGATGGCATTAGTGCACTAACTTAGCAGTGGTCTAAATATAATCAGTTCTGTTGGGTTATGGATCAGTGGCCTAGGTGATGCAGTGTCATCCCACCCAACCCTATTTTTGGTGACTGCCTGTGATTTAGTACTCATAAGGGTGCCATCTTTTAGTGCAAATCAGTGGCCTTAGCTGCATGCTGATTGATCCCAGGCCGTAATCTGATGAATACTGTTCTACCCACTATAGTCCAGTACTGATGGAAAAAAATCCTGTCCAAGGCCTTCAGAATTCCCCCTCCCTTCTGTTTTCAAAACTATTTCTCCAGCCATGAGACGAACCACTATTAGGACTTGCTCTGCACAGGGATAGAAAGGCTCTTTCTGGTATTGCCCTAAGCTGATGAAAACCCAAACTCCCATCTCAGCCTTAGTTGGAGTCAGAAATGTCCCTTGTTTTCTGACTTGAAACAATCTTGTAGTTTTTTTGTGAATGTAAACTGTGGTTAAGTTTCATCCAAATACCTGAATTTCTGAATCATAGAATACCAGGTTGGAAGGGACCTCAAAGATCATCTGGTTCAACCTTTCCAAGTAGGAACACAGTTTAGATGAGACAGCTCAGCACCCTGTCAAACTGAGTCTTAAAATTGACCACTGCTGGGGAAACCACCACGTCCCTGGGGAGATTATTCCAGTGTCCAACTGCTCCCACAGTGAAAACATTTCTTCTGATGTCCAATGAGGATCTCCCCAGGAGTAACTTGTACCCATTACTCCTCATCTTTTCCATGTGACTCCTTGTGAAAAGACAAGATTTTTTGGGATTGTTTTAGCTGAATGCCACTTGCTAATTATATAATAAACACAACCATTGTTAAGGTTGGAAGGTGTAAAAGGTTGTAGCTTTTAAAGTTTGCAAGATGCATGGTCAATATTGGTTACCTTTAAATAAAAGTTAAAATAAATACATGGTTACCTTTAAATCCAGAAAGGATGAAATAACATGTTTGGATCTTAATCTGGAAGGGGATGTACAATTCTGCCTTCTCTGTGGGCAGCAAGATACTCAAATTGACACAAAAAACTCTCAACACCTTGAAACTCCTATTTCCTTTTTAATGATGATTTCTCTTGTCTACTTTCCTTTGCTTGAGGAAAAAAGTATAGTGACAGGCAATTTTTGCATAAAGAAATTGTAGTATGGCTTAGCAACCACGTGTGATGCTCTTTTTAAGGCTTAATATTTTACTTTAAGGTTGATTAATCACACAAAGAAGCTAATGGAGAAAGAAGAAAAGCTCTGCATTAAAATTCTTCAGACATTGCGAGAAATGCTCGACAAGAAAACTAACTTTGCGGAAGAGGTACTGCTACCATTTTAGTATTAAATATAGAACTAATAGCATGGCATTAAAACGTTGGCTCTAGGACATTAAGGGAATCTGACATGATTTCAATTTCCTACATGTTTTAAAGATAAGGTGGTGTCTCAGGAACAATGTGATAAGGCGGAAAGTAAGATGGGAACAAAAGACGCTACGTGCCTTACATAGTGTTGTATCAGGGACTTGACAAGAGTCAAGGCAAGGAAGTTGAAATGAATCAGCAGTAGCAAGCTTTACTGTGTGTGATTATTATATATTGGATATCCTTTATTTCTGGAGATTAGTCTTATTATGTCACATCTGACTTCATCAAAACATCAATTGGAAATATAGGGATTTTTAATTGAAAGTGTGCAGTTTTTCCTGCTGCCTGTGGTGCCAGACTTAGGTACTCCATACACTTTTTAATACTCATAAATGTCTGATGAGAGTATGTAATGTTTAAGCAGAGCTGCCAGTTTGGGGGAGAAAAGACGTCGTCTGTACTCTGTAAGCGTTTAATTATTTCTTGCACTCCTCTCTCTCCCATTATTGCCCAGTTTTCTCTTGAAAAACCAAGTTTTTCAAATACCCCCTTCGTCTTGCTTGTGCCTTTGGGTATCAGTAGCTGGATTCAGATTTACGTGTCAGCTGTCCCTTCTTTTTGAGCCTGCTCCCCATGCTTTTTGTGTGGCTTCCTTTTCTCCGCATTTCTGAATATTCCCCAACTTCCTTCAGAATTACACACTCTTAAATATGAATCACAGATCTATTATCTAATCTTTCAGTGCTGTCTTTTCATTTGTTCACAGCTGACATGTTTAGTCAAGCATGTTAATGGGTTTCACTTTACCTTGAGAAAAAAATACTGATTACAACCCAATGTCACACTGTTTTAGGCTGTTACACCCAAATATTTTCAGATGTCTAAGTAACAGAGCTTATTCATGTTACTGTACCTGGGAAAATTATCCACCAATTAGATCTACTAGCTATGAGATTCAATCTTAACCCAAATCTAACCTTAAGAAAAATGAAGTCTATTGTGGCTAAGATGCCTATGCCTGTCTCTGGGTGTTTGAGATTTTACTTTTAAATGTAAATGTTTTGGTCCAGTCATATGGCACAATATAGTACCAACACACTTTTTTTTTTTTTTTACTGTAGATAAAAATACTCAGCATCTTTGATTTAACCATATATTGTTTGTTTTGATTTCAACATATGGACATGGGAACACATTGCCCAGGCTTCAAAGCAACCTGCTAGACAGAATAATTAAAAAAATCATCTTAAGGCAGGACAGTGAAATGAAGAAAAAAGCAGCAATAACAAAATATCAGCCCTGCTCTATGCAAAAACAACCAGTGCACATAGAGAAAACCAAGCTCTTCTTCACCTCCTGCTCAGAGAAAAATGTGGTTAGGCCTCAGCAGACAAATTTTTTCATGTCATAAAAGGGGTTTCAGAGGTGAAACAGATATTATTCTTAATTGTTATTCATACGTATTCTAATAGCTTTCTGGGTCCATAATGCCACTGCATCATATGGAAAAAACTAATTTGTTTTTATAAGTGCACACTACGATGAACTTTGTCAAACCTCTCCAAAATAATTGCACAGACCCACTGAAAGTTAATGTCATCTCAAGACTACAGGGGGCAAAAAGCAATGCTTTCATGTATGACTTCAAGCAAGCAAGCAAAAGTTTGCCTGTTTTAATTGCTCTTCGAACCCTGTTGTGGATAAAGCCAGATGAAGTGAAACCACCAGAGGGAGTGTGTTGTATTGGGAGGGATGTAGGGCCTCTTCACGCAGAGCCAGCCCAGCCTCTAGTTCTCAGGAGTGGATTTAAGAGATGTACACCCAGACTCCTTATCTGACCTCCACCATCTTGGTGGGGCATGTTGGGTGGAAGAGCTCTTTGGAAAACGTTCTTTCTCTCTCCTGCTTTCTCTCAAGTCCCATAGATTTTACACTGAGGAATGTAATGATTCAGTACAATCAAATGAGTAAACAAGCTTGTATGGTTTGCAAGTGTTTCTTTGACTTGCTACTCCTCTGAGTCATTGTTCATAGTATGGACTTCAGACTAGTAAAATCAGCACAATCAATAGCCTCTTCTGCATGTTTCCAACTTTTTTTTTGAACTGTGATCTTATTGCCTGCTAAGTCATTCAACTATGTTATGCAGATACTACAAAAAATTATAGTAGTAAATACATAATGGTAATACCAGAACTAAGCTATGGAGGGACACATGACATTTTGACAGACAGCCTGAGTTTGTTAGTTATCTCTCATAATGTATGTTGTGTGATTGACAGAAATATTAAACCTCCAGTTTCTGCAGATTTTCCACAGTGAGAAATAAGGAAGAAATTGTGAAATATTTTGTTTTTTCTCTACCCTTTACTTCCCACAGTTAAGATCCAGGTCTGAGAACCTTACCTTCCAGTGTCTTTATCTTTCATTTGACTACTGGAACATTGCCTGTTTTATTGAAGGAAAAGGAGAAAAAGATAGCAGTAGGGGCTTATTTCACTGTTTTTATGCCTGTTCCTGTATCCACTGTCTCACCTCTATTGTTGTGCCTCCCCTTGCTGGTGTGTTTCAGGGCTGCTCATGTTCCCCTGGCTCCTCCCTCCTCAGTTGCCCTTGAGGCAGTGCTTGCTTGTGCATTGTTTTGCTTTGTGCCACAACATTTAATTGTGTTAGGAATCAAAGTTTAATTTCAGAAGTTTGATTAAGCTATATAAATGACACATAAAACCTCTTGCTCATTGATTTGCTTTCTTAAGTAATTGTTGGTGATTATTAGGATCTGCCAGGAGTTGTACGCTAAGTCCTAGTCCAATTTTTATTGATTAGGAAACTGACTGGAATGAAACTTGATCTACAGCCCCTCTCTTACAGAAGGCTCTTCCAGAACAGTGTTAAAACACTTGGGTAAAGCAATGTATGGAGAAGTCAACTGTGGTATAGAAGCAACCCTTCTCTAGACTGACTGGTCAAGAAGAAAAACAGGGGAGACAGAAAGGACTGTGTTTGTACAAGATCTGCCCCCCATCTGTGTTTGGTTTTCTTGTTGACGGCCGTTTTTAGACCCATTTTATAAAAATCAGAAGGGTCTTGGTCTAGAATTTTTGAATTTCATTAGGCAAGTCTTTTTTTGTCCTTCACTATCGTGCTTGATTTTCTGTGTGAATGTTGCCTCTAGACCTACTTACGTCTCAGTTTGAATCGGCATAACATTTCCGAAAGGGTCTGCAACACGTAGACCACTGATGTATGTTCACTTTCCAAATGACTAGAGCCTTTAATATTTTAGCATTATCTTGCTGCCCTGCTGAAAGCAACCATCACTACGATGGAGCTGGTGGGCCAGGAGGGGAGGGTCCTCCCAGCTGCTTTAAAGAGGGTTTAGAAGCTTAATTAAACTCTCCCTCAGTGAATTGGATGAAGTTGTTGAACTCTTGACAGAATTACTCATATGGCAGCTTCTCAATCCACTCCATCTGGTGGCATGTTAATGTCTTGGCCATGGACAACCTTCTGATTTCCTAACTGTTCTTAAGTGAGGCTGGGGAAAAAAAAAATACTATCTCTGATAATGTGTGAATGTGGTAAGTTTAGTGAAACATTACTGACTGATCAGTGTCTATGGATGATAGTCCATTACAGAATCCAAGCCCATATACCCTGCCAACTGGTAGTTCCTAAGGGAAACACTATTACAAACAGATGGAACCCTCCAGTAAGGGTTACTTGTGCTGCAGAACAGTCTTTATACTTTTTTCCTGCTTTAGGTGTTGAAGTATAAATAATTGAAAACTGCATTTTTAAGTGTCAGCAGAACAAAGACTGTGTAAGCTCCTTAATTGTCAGAAATAAGTAGCTGTGCTTTTTTGCCTTTTTTGGAAAAACTCATGAAAAATGTTGGCTTGCTCTTACACATTTGCACTACCTTTATGATCTCAAATCATAGAAGTAGCTTTGTAGCCTTTAGTTTTGCAGTGTTAATGTTTTACTTTAGATATGAAATGTAAGCTATTCTCTCCTCTTTGTTTGCAACAACAGCACCAAATATGCATGTGAAAAAATATTACAACTTCAGTGTAAATACAAATTTATTCCATTCCTGAAAGATGTAGTCCCTAATGTGGCCAATAATTGTTCTTGGTCATTTTGTGCCAGAAGACTGAGGTCTTTTCATGTGGAACTGTTAACAAAACTCCAATGAATTTGTCAAAAGTGATGGGCCTGGTTCATGAATGTATTGATCTGCCAGTCAAGCTGAAAGCATTAGGAGCTGCAGGTCTTTTTCTGCTGAGGAGAATGGTCTCAATGTGTCTTACAAGCCAGGAGATGTTGCTGGGAGTCACTGTAGTGTCCCAGTGTGGCAGCTCTTTGAATCAAAGGCATTCTTGATTAAAACTGTGTTCTATTCTATAGCCTCGTCTTTTCAAGATTATTTTACTTATTTGCATCTGCAAATTACGCAGCATTCAGATAAATACCATATGTAGGTAAAAATAAAAGAGGAAAAAAGAAAAATTCTGGGTCTTGCTGAATGTATTATACCTTAAAAGGACATTTATTTTAAATGGGAGGAAGAACAGGATCTAAAATTATTTTATATGTGTTACTACTCACATTTTGGATTAGTGGCACTGCAGACATTCTGAAGAATTACGTTGAATTTTTCATTATTTGTGCTGTTTGTTTTATATGTGTTCATTTATAAAAATGCCTCTGCACTGGCCTGTTTTTTTCCCTGTTGTCAATAGGCCATTCTCCTCACAAAGCTCAGTGTGGCTGTAAGGCAATAGGGCATTAGGAATAGTATAGAATGTTTTTTAAGCTCAATGCTGTTTATATTGAATTTATAAAAAATAAATTCACCTGAACTTTTCAGCTGGTAAAGGACATTTTGCATTATCCTTCACTAAAAACTCTCATCTTTGGAAAACAGCCACAGTCTGGGGGGAGCTGAACG